ACAAACAGGAGACTAGGGACAACGAGGAGCAGGTGTGGGCTACCACAAACAGGAGACTATACAATATTAATATATAATATAATATAATATAATATAATATAATCCATCCATTGTCCAACCCGCTTATCCTACTGGGTCGCAGGGGGTCCAGAGCCTATCCCGGAAGCAACGTGCACGAGGCAGGGAACAACCCTGGATGGGGGGCCAGCCCATCACAGGGCAATAAAATATAATATAATATAATATAATTCTACTTGTGTCGGTCAAGTGAATTCACAAAGATGAGAATAAAATATCAATAGTCTCATGGTGTATGGATGAACTCACTGGATGTTCTTCTCTTAATTAGGGTCTGTTCAAAGTAATTTATTGTATTTTATTATATTATTCAAATGATTGAATTATGAATACAATAACAAGCAACCAGGCAGCTTTTTAACAATATAACAGAAATCTGCATATTAGGACAAACTCACAAAAGCAGAATTTGTTAATCATTTAGCCTTGATGCTGTTTATTCACAGATGGGAGCCTGCATGTCCCAGAGGAACTTCTGGCTATTCAGAAGGTTAATTTTTTGGTATAGAGCTGGCTCCCATCTGATTAGATCTGAAAAACTGAATTTAATTTCAATATGTATCCAGTATGATGTTCAACTTGTATGTAATATTTCTTTACTTTACATACTTTACATTATACATACTATACATTACTATACATATCATATATAATATATCAAATATAATGTGATATTATTGTATGTAGTATTGTATTATTATATTATATTAAATTATAATACTACATAGTTATAAATTATAAGGTATTATGCATATATATTATGCTTATAGAAGTGGTTGTTATGTCTGGTGGTTGTCAGGATCTCTCTGTCAGAACTGTCATGTACTTCTATTGCCAGCAGATGTCGCTGGCCATCCCATATGGTCGTGATGATTGCCAGCCTAGTGTCTCAATTACTCAAACCTGTCTCCCATTTGAAGCTCATTATCTTTGTATATATGTGCCTGCCCGTGCCCTGTTACCCTGTCAATCATTGTTAGTGCTGTGTGTTCATCCCCACTTGTGGTTCGCTATTGTTAAAGTTCTGTGTCACAGTTTTACCCAAGCTCTCCCTGTGTCTTGGCCAGATTTGGCACTGATGATCTTCAGACAAAGCCTCACAAAAGTTACCAGACAGATTTTTCATTTTTAAAGCCATTCATCCATTACAGCCTATAAAATGCAGCAGTGAAAATGCCAAGCATGAAGGGGGCTAATATCTTGGCCAATCTTTGGTCAGTTGACATGAAATTTGCTTTGAGTGCATAAAAACATACCCTTGATAAAATGACATGAAGTTGTTTCCATGGCAACTATGCCCTGGTAGTTTGCTTGGCCCTATTGTTGTTGTTTGCAATTATGTCATTGTATTGACCATAAACTATAATAATACAATACTAAATAAACCACATTTAATCAAAATGAGTTCAAAATTTAAGTGATTTAAGCCAATTAAGTGAACAATCTGTTTTGTAGAGAAATTTGCATCTCTCAATAGACATTGCATTTGTTTGCACCAATATAGCGGACCTGCAGATACATCATCAAATCTCAAACGCGGCATCCGTCTTTCCATATCTTTGCTCTTACCTAGGTTGGTGTAGGTGGGGCTGCTAGCGTTGGATGCAGGGCACAGGGACTGGATGGCTACCTCATTGGACACTGCCAGGTTTTTGTTAATGACTGATCGCTGGTTGCCAGATCTACTGGCAGACTCCTCCCACGAGGGCTGTTGTATGTTTTCAAAAGGAGCACGGACTGTCTCCTTCAGCCCCCCCTCCTTCTTCACCTGGCTGCATGTGTGAATGAGGTCATTGTACAAAAAGAAAGGAAGTGAGGTTTGCAGCTTGGTTTCAACATGTTTTTGCTAATTATCATTAACTTGCCAACTCTGGTCAGCTGGCAAGAGTGAGATTTTCAGTTCAAGACAAGTCTGCACACACATGCACTCACAATGACATGCATGTAACAGTTTTTTACCTTGTAAGTGTAGGGTTTGCAAACTGGCCCAATGACATCTATATTTTTGTGCCGTACTTGTCATTGAAACTTCATAAACCCACATTCTATCAGATTAGACCTCCTCCCCAGATGCATTTTTAGAGGTCGCTCCTCTAACAGTGCTCATCAAAATTGATAGATCTTCTTAAATAAATGTGATGAGTGCAGTTCTTTTATTGATTAGTCGACTGATCAATGTCTTTCTCTGCAAATAATAAGTAATGAGCCTTTTTTAAGTACCAATAAATGACCCTTCAGAGTTTGCTTCATGACACAGAATCCCTAAGATACTTATTCAATTTTTCTGGAGGCATTAAGCACCACACTGTGTTTTAAAAAACAGATGAAGGCTAACAGATTGTCCTTTGTGTACTTTTGTGTAAAACCTTAAGCAACATTAAAAATATTAAAAAGCTTTATTGAGCTGACTGAATTATGAAAATATATTGCTTTAAAAATGATGTTTGGAAGTATATTACTTGTATGTTACTCACTTGATTTTTACCTTTTGACAGTGCTCTACAGTGCTTTTAACAGCTTTAAATTTGCAATTAACCTACCACTTTTGAATCACAGGTTTGCCAGATTTTTTAATGTAAAACTGTTATATTTTTGATTATGCATCTTGATTTATGTGAGAAAGATCAAAACACACCTTTGAACCTCAACTCAGTTTTCTAACTCAAAAAATACTTTGCGAAACTGGAGAGAAGCATGAACTGAGCTGGACATATGACCAGAATGTCATATTCATTCTCATAATTATTCCCATAACAAAAGGCTTAGTATTATTTTGAACATGTATAATGTGCAAATTAAGAAAGAAACAGAACCAAAAGCAAAATAACGAAAAGCCCTAAAATCACCATGAACTGCACCATCCAGCCATACCATTTACTTGCCCAACAAATAACATTTCATTGTCAAGATTTAACTTGCTCAAAGCTGTGTTAGCATGCCTGACACAGAAAGTACACTGTGCAGTGCAGAGAGACGCCTCCCCACTATGCAAACACGACAGACTCGGGGCAGGAAGGGCAGGTCTGGCCAAAGTTTGCGAGCTTACCCGCTGTAATGGCTTACACAACTCCCCATTAAAGCTTCGGTGTGGAAACGGTGCCTCAGTCAAAACTGCATTTCAAGGAGATTTTCCAGCAGAATCAAGGTGTAGAAGTTCGTCCCTCTCTCTCTCGTTTAATCTCCAGGCTTGTCGGGCGCTTTCAGATCCCTCACCTTTCTGACGCACTGTATGCGAGTGTCTGTATGCACTGCCCCGAACAACCTAAGCATTCTCCCACTGGGAGGAGCCTTTAACCCTTTCTTCACTCTTACAGCCCTTGCTTCCGCATGCTCATTGGCTGCCTCCTCTATTGGCTGTACAAAGGGGTGGGGGGAGAAACGTGACTGTCCAGGGAATCGGGGCAGTGTGTGCATGGTGAGTGCTGGTGGTAACACTATGATGGCATCTTCTCCATCCTCTGCAGGACTTTGTGATCCTGAGCCGGCAGCAGAAGAGGATAGACCCCTGGGTGTCACTCTCTTCTGAAGGCTTTTTTTTTTAATCACAGCTCGCTTTCATTTAAACTTTGTTCTCCCATGAGCAAACAGCGCAGTCTTTGTTTATCCGGACAGCTGACTTCACAAGGCAATATATATCTTTTAAATATCACTCGCACCTGAAGTAAAATGTAGGAATGCAGATCAACTTTTAGAGGAATCACTGCATACAGGCTGCTGTGCTGTCGAGTTATTGCTCTATTTGATGAATGGGGGGGGGGGGTTTCTTTGAAAACGGGGACACGAAGAGAGAAAAAAATGTAAGGAGTTGATTAAACCTCTCAAAAGTGACAAAGACCTTAGCGCTGCTTTCGTGTTTCTGTGAGGAACGTGAAAGTGTGAGAACACCAGGCCACAATGCACCAAGGTAATTTTGAAGGGCACTTTTGCAGCATCATTTTGCAGCATATGTTTGGGGCCTGTGCGTCTGTCATTAAATTGGTTCCCCGTTTAAAATTGCACAAATGCAGTTAAGTATTTCCGGTTTGCATCACTGGGGGCAGGTTTTTATTAACTGCAGTGCTTCCTGCTCCTTCTGCCCCACCCCCCAACACACCCTGGCACTCACATTACTGAATATAGCCATTTCCCCTATGCCAGCCTCATTCAACACAGAGACACCAATGTTAGAAAAGCACTGATGTATTCCCAGGAAAAACAATGTGCTGCAGAAACATTACTGAGGGCAAAAAATAATAATCAGTAATTTGAAATGCTGAATACAAGAACCTCGGACTGGCGTAGATTACTGAAGTACTGAGTGTTGCATGGAGTATTACCTGGATTCAACATCCAGCAGTGTTTACTGATATAAAGCAGCTTCATATTACTAGTCTGACATTTGAGCTTGAACGTAACTAATAACATTTCATGAAGGCAATTGTTGAGTTGGAAAATGCATGAAAATGTACAAATATCCCATGTAAAGGATATGTAAATTAAAATTCTGCAAACAAAATCAGTTGGTAAATTTCAAATATTTGCGAAAGCCTCCTCACCTACTTGCTTGCTTTCTGGGCAGTGGGGGTGCTGATTACCCCCACAGCCCGTGACTGGCTAAGAGATGCTTTGGGTGCTGTGTGTCCTTGACAGCTTGCCTGCCGCTCCGCTTTGGGCCCAAATCGCTTTCGCTGCTGAGACCAAAGCAGCACAGCTGTCGTTAGCGAGCTGCATCGCCGCAGATACCAGGCCCTTCAGGGGTTAACGAGAGAGGTGCCACGTTCAGGCAGCAGGGGATGCCCCATATTTTCATCAAGTCCCAGCATACCCCTGTTTTTAAAAGTTAAAAGTGTGACCTTCAAGTGCTGTACAGCCGTGATTCCTGCAGTGCACATACCATTAAGGAAAGTACATTATTTTGTGCAAACACTTTGGGTCTGTCAACTGTGAACATTCCATTATCCATTCCTGTAATTCACATGACATTTTTGACACCACAAAGCCAGTGTAACCGAATGACTTAGTGTTTATGCCAATTCAATAGGAATTTCACTGGCACAATCCTTTAAACGAGATCAACTGACAATGGATTCATCCATCCAACACCCAATTTAACAGACTTTTCTGTCACAGGAACCAGCACCCAAGTGATTCCTAGATGATCCAGAATAGTGTTTATATCAGTAGTGTAGGAGGCACACTGTCCAGTTTTTCTCATACTTTATTATTCAAAAATATGTCCTTATGTTACCTTGCCAAGATTTGCAGGCCTGCAACTTTTTAACTTCTAATGAGGTATATTGGACAATCCTCCTCAAGATGTTGGAACTATGATGCAATGTCATAAACACACTGTATTTCTGCTCGTTCCCACTTTTGTAAATATCGCAGCTATGTTAAACCTTTTCTGTAATATGTTTAGAAACACCAGGGACGCAGTTATGCTGTTTTAAAGAATAAATTATAAAGTGCTAGTATATTAAGGCATAGTGATCTAAAATAGATGGAGGGGAGAGCCGGTGTGGTTGGTGGGGTAGACGCCCTGCTTGTTAGTCGAAAGGCAGAAAGGCAGGTAGACTGAAAACCCCCACAGTTCATGATAGACCTGGCTTCCCACCTCGCATCAATCTAATACCTGTATATTCCGCTTTCCAATAAAGCGATATGCACTTAAAAAAAACAAGGTATTAACTGTTGTGGGAAAAAAGTAGAAAAGAGGGACAGGGTTATACCTAGCTGGTTAGCCCATTTTTGAGCTTGCCTGTAACCCTCATGACAGGCAAAACCCAAACCCTGCTACGATGAACTAACCATAAAGAGAGCAAATCATCCCCACCGTAACTTTAAACAACTTTAAACAAACAATTTTGTCTCTATAATCAAATAACATGTTTTGTGCTTCATTAATGGTTAATTGAGTTGTGTAAGCAATTTAAAAAGAAACCCTTTGTTTTAAGTCCCATTTGTGAATTTAGCCTCAGGTTACAGTGAAATTCTGGAAATAAATTAAAGTCCATCAAAAATATTTTTACAACAGGGATCATTTCAGATAATTTATTTAGAAGCCAAAGGGTCCCAGAGTAAATGTATTATACATGAACTTACAGGTATTGTTAAAATTCATTAAAAACTTTCTAATGCTTTATTACTTCATTAGTGTTTGATATATGTCTTAGTTTTCAGGGAACTTAGCCAGAGTTTAATAAAGGAAAAAAATTATAATATGGTTTTCATCCAGTTATAAAAATATTCAATCTGTGTAAAGAATTTTACACTCAACTATGATGACAGAAGTGTTTCACCTTAATTTATTTGGGACATTTTTATCTGCATGTATTTGCCTTTATGCTAATTATACTGTAAAGCTGAATCTAGTGCTACTTCACTTCATTAACCACTTATTATGAAAAGAGGTTTTTTGCAAGTCATTATAATCTTTTTTTATCTTATAGAGCAGAGGATACTATCTGGGGGAAATGTTAAATAAATTAACAGTTTTATGGCCCTACAACTACTAAACCGACTTATCTTTCACAACAGCAAAAACTGTTCTTTTTGGGAATTACACTGATGTATTTCTGCTTTGGGCTGCCGACTCACTACAGCCAGGCCACAGATATTCGCTCCGTCTGCTGCTGAATGACCGTTCAGTTTTTCTTGCTAACTGGGACAAGGAAAATTATCCTTACGAAAAGTGCAATGTTCTTGTTTGATATTCGACATCCAGTAAGAGTATGGCATGTGTTAACGTCTTAAAAACCACAAAGATGTTTTAGCATTAAATGTATAAACATATATTTCTAAAAAATCTTCAGAAAATGCAAAGAACTGGCAGATACTGCACAATATGCTTGATGCTACCTGATACCATGTAAGTCTGTTCTGGAGATTAAAAATTAAACTGTTGTACTCCTCTGCCAATGACCCCATTTGAACAAGCCTTTCCACCCACTGATTTACTTGTTAGTCCAGGAACTCTTCATCACCCAGCCCAATGCCATTACTTTAATTTCTGCAAATTTGGTCCAATCAGCATGAAGGCTGGCCTATCCTCACACCCATGTGAGCATCAGAACGAGTTCCTTCATTGTTAGAGCACACCCACCGTGTGCCTGTGTGCACTTGCACCTTGCCCAGGGTTTATATCCTGGACAGACAAGGGTCTCGCTCTTTGTGGGCAAGTGAAGCTTCTCTTCATGAATAAATAAAATCAGCATTGTTGGGGGGAAATAAAAGAAAATCCAGAATGTTCTTTTGATAACGTCAGCTGCAAACAGAAAGCTGAGACCAGCATCAGATCCCAATGCAGATATAGCCCAGCAAGCACCAAATCATCTGTGTGGGATAATTTCACTACACTGTCTTTGACATGATTAGTTTGGAGAACAAAACGCATTTACAGTACACAGAGCAAAATGTGCAGTTCATTTCAGTCACACATCTTTCTGTAACAGTACTTATAAAAACTACTACTACTACTTTCTTACTAAAGACATGGTTTTTGATATATACTGTGCAGTTTGGTGGGTTTAAGTCAAACATTAACAAACATTCATTTTAAACACTTAACTACATTTATACATTGGGGAACACACAAAAATATCTGCAATAATATGTATTGTACAGTAAAGTTGTGAATTTTGGCCATGCAGCCTGCGCAGCAGCAGAACGCCGTGTGTTTCTGAGCGGCCAATCGACCCACCTTGAGAGTCTGTCACGGGAGGCTGGGCGGCTTGGACTCGCAGTGGCGGTGAGGAGCTCCAGCTTGGACTCGCAGTGGCGGTGAGGCGCTCCAGCTTGGACTCGCAGTGGCGGTGAGGCGCTCCAGCTTGGACTCGCAGTGGCGGTGAGGTGCTCCA